CAGTATGGCGAGCCGAGTTGTCATTTAATCGTAAATAGAGATATCTTAGTTTCAAGTAGAGATATCTTAATTTTAACTAAGATATCTCTATAATAGAGATATCTTATATAGGTGTAAATTTGCCCTACCTGACGTGGAAATGTACCGAATATTCAGAACATATGAAAACAACTGCGAAAAAATCGCAAGTTTTTCTCGGATGGGACTCGAACCCACGATCTCCAGATTACTAGCCTGGCATCCTACCTCTAGACCACCGAGCTTGCACCTGATGGCCAGGGTTGAATTTTGAGTCCAAGTAAGCAGCGGGTACTGCAGTGTTGATAGTAATTGTTATTGTCGTGATGGAATAATAGACAATAACTGGATTTGCGTCAGGAGAAACATGTATAGGTGTAATTTTGCCCTACCTGACATGGAAATGTACCGAATACTCAGTACATTTGAAAACAACTGCGAAAAAAATCGCAAGTTATTCTCGGGTGGGACTCGAACCCACGATCTCCAGATCACTAGCCTGGCATCAGAGATATCTTAGTTTTAAATAGAGAAATCTCTATTAAAAACTAAGATATCTCTATTAAAAACTAAGATATCTCTATTTAAAACTAAGATATCTCTATTTAAAACTATATATATATATATATATATAGTAGGCATTAATAAGATGGTAATAAGCAGCACGTATAAATCTTAGTTTTAAATAGAGATACGGTATCTTTCTATATAACCTCAAGCAATTATGTTAAGCAAATATTTGTTGATTGGTTTTATCGCTTACATCTTTAGTATTCATCAAAAACGCAATCAGACACAATGGCATGCAAAATTTCAGTATTTCTACAAGACATTTACTAATAGTGTATGTCTTTACAAAAGCCAACGTGACCTCTGTGACCTGACTTTTTGATGCTGACGATGCCAAGGTTTATATTATTGTTAACAATATAAACAATAAAGTATCTGTAAAACTATCAATACAATTAGTTTGTTACTGTTGGAAGTTACCAGCTAGAAAAGAGTATTTTAAGTGATTTCGTCTGTATAAATTCCAAGCATAGAACAACGTGCAATTTGGCCCGAATCTACATTGTGAAGAGAACACAGTCTTTCGTATTCTTAAAACGAACTTCGACTATCACTGCGACTAAATGACGCGAACCTCGACTAAAATGACACCTCCGCAGGCCGATTTTTTTAGTCAGCCTAGGGTCAGGCTAAATCGCCGACTTGAAATATTTACCCCACTAAAAATGTGTTTTTTGTAACTCACGATAAAGTTAAACGAATAAAAACGATTGTATACGCAGGTTTGATATATCTTCGGTGTGTTAAACAAAAGAGACATCAAGTTTAGCTTCCAGAAGGAGAAATTAACATGTTTTGCTAGCTACATGCGATAGTTCCTGATTTGCACGAAATCCCCTCGCGTTGCGATCACGTAGCTTCACAATAACAACAACAAAAATGGCGCCGCCCTCGCTCGGGCTGAACTATAATAGTTCTCCAAAGAAAGCAAATTTTCAGTGTCTGTTCAAATTCTCTATTGTAATATGTTAACAACTAATATAGTTATTATTATAGAAAATTAATTAAGGGAATGATGGTCTAAGCAAATGATAGTCCATTATTATGAATTATGAGGAAATACGTTTTTGAACCACAGACGGCAGCTTAATATTCATCCGCGTTACCGGATCTGTAAAATTTCGTCTGCTATAAAAGTTAGCCCTTTTCATTGGTTAGTTGATTTAGTCGTAGTTAAAACTTCGACTACATTGTTTGTGAATACAAATTGAAGTTAAAGATGCAACTAGCACTAAATTAAGTTCTAGTTCGAAGTTCGACTAAAGTTTGTTTTAAGAATACGGGCGATAGAGTTGAACAAGTTACACTTGTTTTATACAATTTGATGATATGTGATATGACGTCATCGTACCCACATATGGGCACATCACATTTTTTGTCACATAAAATTTAAGAATGTAGATAAAGCTTATTAAGTAATAAAAACAGGTCCAGCAGGTCTTACCATTATGGCGTTCGAGTAACAAATAGGTAATAAAATGCCAGTTAACTAACTGGATTTTTTTAATGTGTGTTTTTTTTTATTGTTTTATAATTTTAATAATATGGCATATAATTCATATGAATTACAGCAGCTTTACCAATGGTAAACATTAAGATATGCGGTATCAAACTGATCAGATCATTGTATTTTATTACTGCCATCAGCTGGGTACATTTTAATCCGTTGCTTTTTTTATATTTCAGGGTATCAAGTCCTCAATCTTGCATAACACTGGTTGCTGGCAGTACGTTAATAATATATGTAACTATATTGCATATCCACAAAAATAATTGGTTTTTAAAAGCAGAGAGCAAATTGGTTTGTAGCTTACCATCGCGGGCTTCAAATTCGTTTGCTCCCCGAGTGCAAAGAGCATTGCAGTTAAAGGAGGAGCATTTTCTGACAATTGTCTCACAATATATATATATATATATATATATATATATAT